GGGGTGCTGCGTCTGGGGGTGCGGAGTTTGAGGGTACTGGACCTGCTCGTGTGGCGTCTGGCGGTGCTGGGCCTGGAGGTTCTTCGGGTGCTTCGTCCCGGCGGGAGCTACTCTCTCCACAGGAGCTGCGTGAGTGGTTTGCCCGGCGCTGGAGGCGAACTGCTGGAGCTGGAGGTGCTGCGGGTGCTGGAGGTTCTGCTGCTGCTGAGGGTGCTGGTGCCGCGGGTCCCGGAGGTGCTAAAACTGGGAGTACTGGAGCTGCTGGGCCTGCGGGTGCTTCTCGTAATGGAGCTAGTGGTGCTGCGGGCGTCGGTGCTACTGAGGGTGCTGGAGCTGGACCCGCTGCGTCTTCTGGTGGTCCAGCTGGAGCTGGAGCTGCTGGGGGTGTTGGCGCTGAGGGTGCCTCTGGTGCTGGTGCCTCTGAGGGTACTGGCGTTGGCGCTGCTGGAGCTGGGGGTGCTGCTGGCGCTGGTGCTGTCGTTCGGGGTGCTGGTGCTATCCCTTCTGGTGCTGGTGGTGCTGAGCGACCGCGGCCGTACTTCGTTCCGCTCCTTGAGCAGGTTCTTGGTCTTCCGCCCTCTGCTAGTCCGGCTCCTCCCTTAGAGTGTCCACTGCCTGTCCAGTCCGTGTCACAGTTACAGCCTACCTCTCCTCTGCCTGCTCCTTCTCCCTACACTGGTCCTACTGGAGGTCTTGCTGAGCGTCGTGAGCCTGCGTCTCGTCCTGCGTCGCCTGTCCGTGCTGCTCGCACTAGTCGTCGTGGTTCGCGTCAGCGTCCTCCCCCTGTCCCCGGCACGCACCAGATGTCTCTGCGTCCCTCCACTGCTCCGCTGCGTGCCCCTTTGCCTTCTCCTCCTGAGTCCTCTCTTCCTGTTCTTGCTGACCCGGAGTCGGACTCCCTTCGTACTGCCAGTCCTGCTGTCATGCGTCTCCTTGCTACTGTCGTCATTGGCCCTTCCTTTGAGTCCGCTGCTGCGTCTGCCTTAGTTTCTGAGCTTGTCGACTTCGCTGCTCGCTGTCGCCTAGACTACGCTGCTAGTCTTGTCGCTGAGTCTGAGTCTGTCTGTCCTCCGTCCGTCGGGGGTGAGTGTGCCCTTGGCACGGACGTCGTTGAGGACAGGCAGGAGGAGTTCCAGTGCTTTGCTGCTGCTTCACCTCATCTCGTGTCCATGCTGCTTGCCCCTGAGGGAGACCCGGATGCACCAGACATCCCGACTCCGCGCTCTTACGCGGAGGCGATAGAGGGTCCCTACTCCTCTCAGTGGCCCCAGCCATGGATGCAGAGATGGCCATGGAGATGGCCTCCTCTCAGAGGCAGGCACCTACGTCGACGAGGTTCCCCCTCCTAGGGCGAACATCGTCAGTGGCATGTGGATTTTCAGGGTGAAGCGGCCGCCGGGTTCTCCGCCTGTCTTCAAGGCGCGCTACGTGGCTCGTGGCTTCAGTCAGCGGCAGGGAGTTGACTACTTTCAGACCTTCTATCCCACCCTGAAGATGACCACTCTTCGGGTACTGCTGCACATAGCCGCTCACCGTGACTACGAGCTTCACTCTCTTAACTTCAGCACTGCTTTCTTGCAGGGCAGCCTGCACGAGGAGATCTGGCTGCGCCGCCCACCTGGCTTCACTGGGTCTTTTCCTCCTGGTACCCAGTGGAGCCTCCGGCGGCCAGTCTACGGTCTCTGCCAGGCACCTCGTGAGTGGCACGACACACTGAGGACTACACTTGCGGCTCTTGGTTTTGCTCCTTCTACTGCCGACCCGTCGCTGTTTCTGCGCACCGACACTTCTTTGCCGCCGTTCTACATCCTCGTGTACGTTGACGACTTGGTCTTTGCCACAGCTGACACTGCTGGACTCGCCCACGTGAAGTCCGAGCTGCAGAAGAGACACACGTGCACAGACCTGGGTGAACTGCGCAGCTACCTTGGCTTGCAGATCACCCGGGACAGAGCACAGCGCACCATTATCTTGACTCAGTCACACATGGTGCAGCAGGTCCTTCAGCGCTTCAGCTTCACGTACTCCTCGCCTCAGGCCACTCCTCTGTCTACTCGCCACTCGCTCTCAGCTCTGCCTTCGGATGAGTCCGTAGAGTCGAGTGGCCCGTACCCAGAGCTTGTTGGCTGCCTCATGTACCTGATGACCTGCACTCGACCTGACCTTGCATACCCTCTTAGCATTCTGGCACGCTATGTTGCTCCTGGGAGACACAGACCAGAGCACATGGCTGCAGCGAAGAGGGTGTTGCGCTACTTGTGTAGTACGTCGGGCATGGGGCTTGTGCTTGGAGGGCGGAGTCCAGTGGTCCTCACTGGTCACGCAGACGCTTCTTGGGCTGACGACCAGGCTACGCAGCGGTCGTCACAGGGTTACACCTTCAGCCTTGGTTCCGGCTCTGTTTCGTGGCGGTCTACCCGCTCGTCTTCTGTTCTCGGCTCCAGTTGTGAGGCTGAGATCTACGCAGGGGCCATGGCTGCACAGGAGCTACGCTGGCTCACCTACCTGCTGACTGACCTAGGAGAGCCGCCTCGTTCTCCTCCAGTTCTATACGTAGACAACAAGGCTATGCTGGCCTTGTGTCGGGAGCACAGACTGGAGCACAGAACGAAGCATATCGCTCTTCGCTACTTCCTTGCTCGTGAGCTGCAGCAGCGAGGTCAGCTGCGCCTTGCTTACGTGGCCTGTGAGGCCAACACTGCTGATATCTTCACCAAGGCACTTGCGCCTTGTGACCATCAGCGCTTCTGTACTCTGTTAGGTCTTGTTCCTACCTTGCCTCACTTGCTCACTTCTTGACCTTGCTTGTACTGTTACATATATATATACCTGCTCTTGCTTGTTTAGCGTTATATAGATGTGTGTACTCATGCATGTGAACTAGCCTTGTGGCCTTGAACTTGTGCTCAGAATGTGTGGTGACGTTGTGATCCACCCTGAGCTTGCTTTGCCTTGCTTTGCTTGACTGGTCTTGTGACCCCTTGTTCTCCCCCACTTTGCCTATGGGGGTGTGCTAAACTTATATGATCTAGCCTGTGTAGGCTGTAGCGGGTTAGATACTAAGGGGTACACAATTCTAGGGTTTCACATTTGTATCACTTTCATTCCTTAGTCAATCCATTCTCGTTCTTTCACACTGTTACCCAGCTTCTCCCTCTTCTGCAACAATCAATCCGCAATTCGCATAGCGAACAAGAGCGGGTTCGCGAATCGAACGAAGCACATCGCCCTTCGGTATTTCTTCGTGAAGGACGAGATCAAGAAAGGAACACTCGAGCTATCCTACTGCCCCACGTCCGAGATGGCAGCAGATTACTTGACCAAGAAACTTGGGAAGCAGAAGTTCGAGTACTGCATGCTGCTGACTGGACAAGGCCACGTCACGAGCAACAAGGGTGATGACACTCCAGAAGCAAAGGGGAGTGTTAGAAACACATAGTTGGCGCTTCTGAAGTATCGAAGTAATAACACGAACGAAGCATACTACAGTGAAGGAACAAGCGATTCAACCAAGGAGGTTAACAAAACGTAACAGTTGGAGGTTACGCGAAGATCAAAGGTCAGCGACCTTTGACTCAACGAAATACAGCGCGACAGCAAGGACAAACAACTGACTCGGTATTGAGCAGTTGCCCGAGTCGTTACTGTATCGAACCGCAACAGCAAAACAGTTAGTTGCACCTCTTCGTATTCCTTGTAATCATATATATATCCTTGTATCTCTTTGCTCTAATCAATTCATCTTGCTCTCACACACTAGTGCAAGGTGGTTCAACAAGTTTACGATACGCTTCTGCAATTACAACATCTCTACTCAAAGTCTTAGCCTTGAAAAGATCCCAAGGGCTTTTATCAGCCCAACAAAGCGCAGGCCTATGATAAGCGCCGGCGCTTATAAAATGCTTATGGCGCTTATATCCGGTCCTCGATTATAAGCCCACCCCTAACAACTTACAGATTATAAGCGCCACCCTCTGTAGTAGTTTTTATAATTTGACTGGAAACTCTGTAACGAAACACAATTTTGCATCCCCACATTCAGAATTTCGAATCCCTTCACCCTCGCGCGGCTCAATGCCTTTGCGTCCAGTCAGAATGAGCTGTCATGGGGTCAATCTGACTCATTCTGACTGTGTGTGTTGGCACGGAATCAGCCACTGCCAATTTACGCGAAATTCACATTCATTGCCCTCTACAATATCGATTCGATTCAAATCGCAAGGACGAGATGAACACTTTGGTGTAAAAAAACTAGATTTCATATATGTCATTATATAAGCCCCGGCGCTTATATAAATCCTCAATTATAAGCCCACCCCCTAAAAAACAGTGTTTTTTTTATACCCCCAGGGGCGCTTCTATCCGGGGGCTGACGGTATGACTTGTTCGACTGCCTAACTTGTCAAAATGTTATAGTGCTTACATTTGTGTAGGCTATAGTGGGGTAGCCCATAAGGGGTACAACCCAATTAGGGTTAGTACTTGTACCCAACTTGTGCTCAATGCATTCATTCTTGTTCGTTACTTTGACATGGAATCAGAGCAGGTTCCTTGGGCCCACCACCTGCTACGCTGCTAGTAACCCCCTAGGCCCGTCGCGCCCCTTAGGCCCGTCGCGCCACCTCACGGCCCCGCGGCCCCTTCGATCCAGGCCCCTAGGCCCCGACGCTCACGGCCCCTCGGCCCCGTCGCTGCCCCTCGGCCTCGTTGGCCCCGTCGCCCCTAGCCGCGCCACTCAACCCCGTTGGCCCCATTGGCCCCGTCGCCCCTAGCCGCGCCCCTCGGCCCCGTTGGCCTCGTCGACCCTAGCCGCGCCCCTCGGCCCCGTTGGCCCCGTCAACCCCGTCGCCCCTAGCGTCGGCCCCGTCGCCCCTAGCCGCGCACCTCGACCCCGTCGACCCCGTCGCCCCTAGCCGCGCACCTCGGCCCCGTTGGCCCCGGTGCCCCCGTGAGCTTGGGGCAGCTGGCGCACTGGATGGCGTTTGGCACCTTGCCCCCCGATGGCGGGGCCGAGTTCTTCATCTCCAGGTGCTGCCGCCCTCCCCTCCTTTCCTCCTCTCCTCTCCCTTCCTCTCTCATCCCCTCCCCTCCCTTCCCCTCCCATCCCCTCCCGTTCTGTCCGCTCCCCTCCCTTCCCCACCCCTCCTGTCCCCTCCCATCCCTCCACTCCCCACCCAGCCCATACCATCCAGTCCCCTCCCCTTCCATGCCCCCCTTCTCTCGTTCAGTAGTGCACTTCCGTTTCCGTCTCCCCACTCTCGAGAGGCGTGATATGTGTTCAAATCAAACACAAGGAGGCCTGCCCTCCCTGCTGCGACCCCCCCCCATTTGTTGCCCTCTGATTACTGAATCTTGTTTTTTTTCTTATCCATCGTTTGTGTGTGATGTGCATGTGCGTGTGTGCTTGTGCATGTGCATGTGTATGTGCCTGCGCATTTCTGTATGTGTATGTGTATGTGTATGTGTATGTGTATCTACAGGGCTGCACCAGCACCTCGGCCCGGTGCAGTGGCGGAGAGCAGAGCAGAGAGGAGGGAGGAGAGGGGTTCGGACACATGCATAGTTTCCTGGGACGAGTACAGCAGCAATGAGGTGGGGCGGATGGCCGTGTGGTCGGGTGGACGGATGGGCGTGTGGTGGGTGCATGGGCGCTTGGGCAAAGCATTTACTCCTCGTGTGCCAACGTCTATTCAACCACCCCGTGGCCAACAGTTTCAAATACTGCCTACCCCCAATCCACTTCCCCACCTCCTCCCACCCCCACCCAGGCTCAGCTGCTTCCTGACTTTGCACGTGAAACAGTGGAGGCAGCGCTGTTTGTGGGGCGAGGGGAGAACACTTACAAGTTACAAATACCACCACCCCCCAAACCCCATTTCCCCCGTTCCTCCCCTTCCCACCCCCGTCACCAGGACCAGTTGCCGCCTGACTTTGCACCTGAAACAGCGGAGGCGGCGCTGTTTGTGGGGCGAGCCATGCTGTTGCTGCAGGAGGTGGGGCGGCGCAGTGAGAGCGAGCTGAGCGGGCGAGGGGCGGGCAGCAGTAGGCAGAGGAAGCACAAGGGAGACGTGAAGAGGATACTCGACAGCGTGCTTGCATTGCGTGTGAGTGTTTCAAAGTTGTGAGACGTCTAAAAACTTAACAATGTGTGCGCCCTCTGGGTTGTGCTGAGTGGGCGAGAGGCAGGCAGCGACAGGCAGCGGAAGCACGAGGAAGACGTGAAGAGAATCCTCGACAGCGTGCTTGCATTGCGCGTGAGTGTTTCAAAGTCGAGAGACAATGAGGGGGGATGCGACACTGTGCTTGCAGTGCGCGTGAGTGTTGTGCGGAGCAAGCGAAGGGGCAAGCAGTGGGCACGGCAAACACGAGTTGTCAATGAGATAGAATGCAGCAGTGTGCAGTGGTGGCGGTCCAGGTGAGTCTGATACTCACCGTCCGTGAGGCATTCAGTCACGACAAGGCTGCGATGGCTGTGTTGCTTTTTTTAAGTTGTTTTGCCCTCGTTTCCATCCTGATCTCCGCGTTTCAGTTTCCAGCTTCCATTTCCATCATCCGTCACGATAAAAGCTATGGTACCATACCATAGGGATGCATGCACATGCATGCAGTGTGATGTCACCGCATGCCGTTCCTACAGGTCTGCTCTAGCTTGTGCCTTTGAGAGCCATCCCTCGTTTTCCTTCCATTCGAAGCACCATGTGGGTCCAACAGGGCAAAATTTTAGAATCAACGTCTCAACCTCCCGCCTCCGCCCCCTCTTTCCTGTCTCCATTTGAATCACCGGGTGCGAGCAGAAGGGGCGCACGAAGCATGCGTGGGACGAGCAGCGGGTGCACGAGGTGGTGGAGGCAGCTAGAAAAAGAGCAGCGCACCGCCTATGGCAGGTATATATGTTTCTTTTTATGTATATAAAAGTTATGCATATGTATGTATATTTTGAGGCTGGCAGCAAAGCGGCCATCTCTCGGCAGCACACTGTAACATGTGTGCTGAGGCGTTTTCGGGTTTGTTTGTTTGTTTGTTTGTTTTTTCTTCTTCTTCTTCTTCTTCTTCTTCTTCTTCTTCTTCTTCTTCTTCTTCTTCTTCTTCTTCTTCTTCTTCTTCTTCTTCTTCTTCTTCTTCTTCTTCTTCTTCTTCTTCTTCTTCTTCTTCTCCTCCTCCTTCTCCTTCTCCTTCTTCTTCTTCTCCTTCTCCTTCTCCTTCTCCTTCTCCTTCTCCTTCTCCTTCTCCTTCTCCTTCTCCTTCTCCTTCTCCTTCTCCTTCTCCTTCTCCTTCCCCTTCTCCTTCCCCTTCTCCTTCTCCTTCTCCTTCCCCTTCTCCTTCCCCTTCCTCTTCCTCTTCCTCTTCCTCTTCCTCTTCCTCTTCCTCTTCCTCTTCCTCTTCCTCTTCCTCTTCCTCTTCCTCTTCCTCTTCCTCTTCCTCTTCCTCTTCCTCTTCCTCTTCCTCTTCCTCTTCCTCTTCCTCTTCTTCTTCCTCTTCCTCTTCTTCTTCTTCTTCTTCTTCTTCTTCTTCTTCTTCTTCTTCTTCTTCTTCTTCTTCTTCTTCTTCTTCTTCTTCTTCTTCTTCTTCTTCTTCTTCTTCTTCTTCTTCTTCTTCTTCTTCTTCTTCTTCTTCTTCTTCTTCTTTTCTTCTCCTTTCTTTTCGCCTCTCTTGGCAGCTGGTGGTGACGGAGAGTGACATCTTTGTGATCTGCACGCCAGCTGTCATGCCATCACCCTACCACCCTTCTTCTCATCAAACCTTTCTTCCCCCTCCCTTCGCCCCCCTCCTTTGTTGCTCCGTGTCTCCATGCTGTCCCCCTGGCAGCTGGTGGTGAGGCAGAGTGACATATTCGGCCATCTGCACGCGGTGCATTACTTCCTGCTGGGCGGAGGGGGGGCCTTCATGCAGGTGAGCACGAGGACGAGGAGCACTTCTTGTGGGTTGACTTTATTGAGTCACCTCTTTTTCACTAAATGCACTGCTGCTTTCTGCTGGGCGGGGAGAGGGGGGGGGCTCATGCAGGTGGGCTCATGTCTCAAAACTCAGAGAGGCGCAGGTGAAGAAAGACCTGCATAGAGACGTTTCAGAACCCGCCCCACCTTTCCCCTCTCTGCCCCTCCCTGTGCCTCAGAGCGTGTGGTAGTCACTGCGGGAGGTGCTGGCACAGCCAGACGTGAGGACGTGTGAAAGCAGACTTGCGTTGCGATCTTTCAAAACCCGCTGCGTTCCCCCTTGTGCCCCTACCTGTGCTGTGTCTCAGAGTGTGTGGCAGTCGTTGAGGGAGGTGCTGGCACAGCCAGACGTGAGGGCCAGGGTTGCCAACGACAAGCTGCAGCTGGCTGTTGAGAAGGTGGGGAAGTCTGGCATTGTCTGGCATATTCCGTCCTGTGTGGCCAGGCCAGCCAGTAGCAAGCGGTGGACGGTGGTGCTGTTGGTCCGTACCACTGCTGCACGTACCAACAGCGTCACTTCTTATCGCACCACAGACACGGTGAATCATAACGGAATGGCTGTTCCCTCTCATGCCACACGTCGGAATGGTCCGTTTTCAGCGGCTGCTTCCCGTGCCAATGCTCGTACCGCGCGAGGTGAGCATTAATTTTGTGGGTCTGAGAAAGAAAAGTCTGCAAGCACAGACAGACCCACAAGATTGATGCTCACCTCGCGTGGTATGGCATTAGCGCGGGAATCGGCCGCTGAAAACGGACCATTCCGGCGTGTGGCATGAGAGGGAAAAACATTCCGTTCCGACCCATAGTGTCTGTGGTGTGAGTGGTGGTGACCCATAATTTCCGCTCTTCATTTTCCCCCTCGTCCATGCCTTAGTTCCCTATCTCCCATGCCTTCCTTCATGCCCACCGCTCGCCTACCTGCCAGGCATCAGCATGCATTGGGGAGGAGGCGACTCTCAAGTACTTCCGCACATTCTCCTTCAAGTGAGGCCCTGTCCCTCTCTGCTCCTGTCAGATTACTATCCTCATTGTAACCTACATCAATCATATAAGCCTAGGTCAGAGATAGACACCCAAACTTAATTTGGGTGTAGAACTAGGGTTAACCTTAGTTGGGGGTTGGATCTCAACCTTGGCCAAATTACTCGGCCCCCAAGGTTGGGTTGGGAATTATTGGTCCCCCCAATAATGTTGAACCACTTGGTCAACATTATTGGTCCCCCAATAATCCCTCAACCCAACTTATTTGTGGGGGCCAATAATGTTGGCTAGGTTCCCAACCAAACCTCTCATCCTAGCACTATGTGTATACCCCCATACCTCCTAATCAAGCTATTGGTTCTTCCTCAAATATTATCACATTGTAATCAGAGCTACAACGGTTAACACCGTCTCTCAATCCTAAGGACCACACCTAACGCGTGCCGTATCACGCCCCCCTCCCTCACGAACACTAAGTCGCTCATCGCGCCTAGTGCGCTCCTACGCCGTCACGGTGCCCCTCCTCTCGCGCTAATTCCAGCGCCCCCCTCCCCACGGCCCTCCCCTCCCCCCTCTCTCACGAACGCATCGACTGTTGGGACGGCCACATCGACTGTCGAAACGGCCAGCGCGACCTCTGGGGCCCCAATCCTTCCCCCACCAGGCAAGGTCATAAATACCTGCTCATCCTGGTGGATGACCACAGCCGGTACTCAGTCTCCCTCCTTCGCACGAAGGCGGAGGCCCCGGCTGCTATTATTGCCTGGGCTGACCAAGCACGCACCTATTTCAAACGCCCTGTCTCCCGCTTCCACTCTGATGTCGGTGGTGAGTTCCTTAATAACATGCTCTCATCCTACTGCACCACTCATGGCATTATTCACACCTACACACTACCTCATTCCCCTTAGCAGAATGGCATGGCGGAAAGCAGAGTCCATGAGGTCACCAAGACTGCTCGGTGCCTCATGGTCCATGCCTCCTGTCCGCCCTCTCTCTGGGGTTATGCCATCCTCCACGCTGCCATCCTCACTAACCTGTACCCTCATCCCTCCCGGCCCACCACCACTCCCACTGCACTCTGGACGTCCAAAAAGCCCGACATCACCCCCCTGCGCGTGTGGGGTTCCAAGGCGTATGTTCTCATACACCCTGTCGACCTCTCACGTAAAGCTAGGAAGCTAGCCTCCCGCACTCTCCCCTGCATTTTCCTTGGTCACAACACCTCCTCCCCGGACTATCTCGTCCTCCATCCCCCCTTAGGTCGCCTCATTCGTAGTCGGGATGTAGAGTTCGATGAAGCCCACCCGTACTACACCTCCCCCAAAGTCCCTAACCCCCTCCCTCTAACCACCTGTCCCCTCCTCTGGACTGACACCATTCCCCCCCCACCCCCTCTCCCCTCCCCTTCCCTTCTCCCCCCCCCCCACCATTGTTCCCCCTGCACCCCCACCCCCTCCCCCCTCTCCCCCCGCCTCGTCAGGAGACATCCTTGACCCCGTCCACCCTCCCTCCCCACCCGCTGCCCCTTACCCTCCCTCCCCACCCGCTGCCCCTCCCCATCCCTCCCCACCCCCTCCCCCTCCTTCCCCTCCCTCCCTCCCTGCACAACATCCCCCACCTCCCCCCTCCCCACGCCCTCCCCCACTCACTCCACCTCCATCCTCCCGGCCCCTACTTCCCACTCCCCCCCTCATACTCCGCCACTACCCTCACACCCGCTCCACGGTCCCCGTTCTTGGTACCCCAAGGTCCACCCCCCCCTCCCTCCAATCTCTCACATCCATCCCCCTTCTCCGCCACCATAGCACCTCCCCTCTCCCCCGCACCAGCCCCTTAGGTTCTCTTAGCAGTCGCGCTCCCGTCTCCTTGCCCCTCACGGCAACTCAGCGAAGCCGAGCTGCAATGCAGCTGTCTCCCCGCCCCGACCCTCAGCGCAGCAGAGCACCAGTGCAGCTGTGTCCCCGCATCGGCCCGACCCTCCAGCGCAGCTGTCTTGCAACTCCACTGCCTCCTTTTCCTCCTCTGCTCTCTCCGGACCTCTCTGAAGACTCTCACGATGAGCTTCTTTTCCTCCATCTCCTCTCGCCCACCATCGCCCCCGTCGTCCGCACAATGGCTGGCACTACTGTCCTTCTCTTCTCCACCACCCCCACCATCTACGAACCCACCACCTATGAGCAAGCACTTGCTTGTCTTGACGCACCTCTCTGGATCGAGGCCATGGTCAAGGAGAGCAACGCCTTCATCAGCAATCGCTCCTTTCTCGACATTCCTCGTCCCTCTAAGCACAACGTGGTCAAAGGCAGGTGGCTCTTCCGAGTGAAACTGCTCCCTGGCAACGCTCCGGTCTACAAGGCTCGATATGTGGCAAAAGGTTTTACACAGACCTATGGCTCAGACTTCTTCGAGACCTACTCACCCACCGCCACTCCGCCGGTCATTCGCGTGTTTTTGGACTTTGTTGGCAGACGCGGGATGATCCTTCACTCCATGGACGTCACCACCGCCTTTCTGCAAGGCGACCTTCATGAGCTCATTTTCCTGGAACGTCCCAAAGGCTTCCACGCTCCTCACGACCCTGCCACTGTTTGGAAGCTGCTACGCCCTGTCTACGCGCTCAAACAAGCACCTCGGGAATGGCACGCCAAACTCTCCTCCACCCTTCGCGCACTTGGCTTTCGCCCCTCCCGTGCCGCCTCTTGCCTCTTCCTCCGCCTGGCCCCATCACCCTTCTACATCCTCGTCTACGTCGACGACATGCTGCTGGCCGCTAACACAACTGCTGAACTCCAAGAGGTCAAGGATGAGCTGCAGAAATGCCTCGCTTGCAAAGACCTGGGGGAGGTCCGCAACTACCTCGGCATGGAGATCACCCGCGACCTCACTGCCAAGACCATCACCCTCTCTCAGTCTTTTTACATCGAGAAGATTCTTGAGAGGTTTGGCATGTCCACCTCAAAACCCATCTCCACACCATTTGCATTTGGGCATCGGCTCTCCCCTCCCACCACTCCCGTCACCTCCCCTCATCCCTATGCAGAACTTGTTGGGGCCCTGATGTACGCCATGGTCTGCACTCGTCCCGACCTTGCATACCCAGTCAGTGTTCTGGCGCAGTTCGTTGGCATCGGCAGGAATGGTGACGAGTATTGGAAGGCGGCCATGCGTGTTCTTCGCTATCTTCAGGGCACGAAGGACCATGTCCTCACTCTTGGTGGTGTGAACCCGCCCATTCTTCAAGGCTTCAGCGACTCATCTTGGGCCGACGCACAGCCCGACCATCGCAGCTCCCAAGGATATGGCTTCACACTCGGGAGCGGTCTCATCAGCTGGCGCTCCACCCGCTCCTCCTCCGTCGCCCTCTCATCCTGCGAAGCCGAACTATACGCGGTCACGATGGCGGCTCAAGAGGCACGTTGGCTCAGCTATCTACTCACCGACCTTGGCTCCCCACAACCCTGCCCCACCCTGTGGTGTGACAACGACAGTACCATTCACCTCACCAAGGAAGCCGTCTTTCATGGTCTCTCCAAACACATCGAGCTTCGCTACTACTTCGTTTGCGACCTTGTCCAAGATGGTCACATCACCGTTCGCAAAATCGGCTCCTCCGACAACCTCGCCGACCTCTTCACCAAGGCTCTCCACCGCTCTAACCACTCTGCGCTTCTGCGTCTCCAGGGACTTGCTCCCAGCGGTGGCTGATTCAGGGGTTGTTACTCTCTCTTCCCAAGCTTATGGATTTATGTAGGTTAAGGGGTTGTGTCAGATTACTATCCTCATTGTAACCTACATCAATCATATAAGTCTAGGTCAGAGATAGACACCCAAACTTAGCTTGGGTGTAGAACTAGGGTTAACCCTAGTTGGGGGTTGGATCTCAACCTTGGCCAAATTACTTGGTCAGCATTATTGGTCCCCCAATAATCCCTCAACCCAACTTATTTGTGGGGGCCAATAATGTTGGCTAGGTTCCCAACCAAACCCCTCATCCTAGCACTATGTATACCCCCATACCTCCTAATCAAGCTATTGGTTCTTCCTCAAATATTATCACAGCTCCCACTCCATGTGGTCCAGCATTCTCATAAGCAGTCTGCACGCAAGTATTTTTCACAATTTCTTTCAAGCGAGCTCTTGTCTCTCGTCCCTTGTAAGCATGTTGCTCTTTGACCTTTCCTTCCTTGAACCTCAGCAATGCACGGACATGCTAGAGGAACGAAGGATCTAGCATGAGTGCAGTTGTGGTGCAGTCAATGAGTTGTGGCGCTGATAGCCAAGGATGGCCTTGGTTTGTATTGCTTATCATGGGCATGGCATGGTGTGACATGGCGTGGTATGACATGGTGTGGCATGGTGTGGCATGGCATCAAACGGTGTGCAACTTGCATGCATCCAGGTTCATCCCCCCTGACCTGGCAAGGCCTCAACCATCCGCTCAATCATCCACACAGGCATCAGCTCAGCCATCAGCCCCGCCTGCCACACCAGTTGCTACAGCGCCAGCAGTAGAGGTAGCAGCAGCCGCCCTGTCAAGACTGGGAGTAGCAGCCGACATAGCATCTGGAACACCAGGGACAGCAGTAGGAGGAGCAGGGGCAGGAGCAGCAGCATTAGCAAGAGGAAGTGGTGGGGGTACAGGGTTGGTGGTGACCCCATTCGACCCGTCTGCTTCATGGCTCAGGGGCGTGGAGACAGGTGAACGACGCGTGCCGGGGGTGGTGCAGGCTGGCTTGCCCACACCGCAGCAGGGGCTGGGACGGGCACAGGGGGGAGCGCAGGGGCAGGGGCAAGGGCAAGGGCAATGGCAAGCGCAGGGGCAAGGGCAGGGGCAGGGGAGGGTGGAGGGGCAGGCGCAGCAACAGGGGCGGGGGCAAAGTCAGAGCAAACAGTCAGGGGGATCAAGCAGTGGCAGCAGCGGCAGTGTGAACTGGTGGGACCGGCTGGAGATGAACACGGGTGTGGCGTGGCCGCTACAGCTGGTGCTGTCGCCCACCGCCCTGCAGCGCTACAACAGCGTGGCGGCGTTCCTCTTCCGCCTGCGCCGCGTGGTGCTGGAGCTGCAGCTGGCCTGGCTGCTGCTGTGTAAGGTCAGACCCGAGGGCGCCAGGATGCGAGGGCTGCCTCAGAAAGGGGCGCGTGGGGTGGTGGCTGGGAGGGGTGAAGGGGTGAGGGGTGGAGAAGGGGGTTTGAGAGAGGCAGGGGTGGGAGGGGTTCAGGGGAAAGGTAGAGGGGAGGTGGTGGGGAGCGGGAGGGGCGAGGAGGAGGGGCAGATGAAGCGGACTTGGTCGCTGCCAGCTGGCAGTGGGGAGGCTGTCAGGAGCGGTGGCGTTGATGCTGGCCCTGCTACCGCTGCTGCTACTGCTGCTGCTGCTGGTGCTGCTGGTGCTGCTGGTTTCACTAGAAGCACAAGTGTGGCGGCTGCGCATATCACTTGGGGAGCACAAGGAGCATTTGATGCTGTGCATGCTGCTCAAGGAGATGCTGCAGATCGTCACCAGCTTGCAGACGTACCTGCATGTATGTGTGTGCTGCCACGCCATGCATGCATGCATTTGTTTTATCTGCTTTCATGTACACGTATGCTGCTACTGTGTGCTGCTTCCATGCATGCTGCTCAAGGAGATGCTGCAAATCGCCACCAGCCTGCAGACTTACTTGCATGTATGTGTGCTGCCTTTCATGTATGTGTGCTGCCTTTCATGTATGTGTGCTGCCTTTCATGTATGTGTGCTGCCTTTCATGTACGTGTGCTGCCTTTCATGTATGTGTGCTGCCTTTCATGTATGTGTGCTGCCTTTCATGTATGTGTGCTGCCTGCATGTACGTGCTCTGCGTGCATGTGCGTGTGCTATCTGCATGCATGCATTTGTAAGCTGCTGCATCTCTGTGCTGCCTTGCAAATCGTCCACCCTACAGAATTCCCAAAAGCGTCTCCTTGAGCCTTATTTCAGTACCTCGTGTTCCGCCGCTCCCTGTTTCTCCGCTCCCTGTTTCTCCGCTCCCCTTTTGCAGCTCCATTGTTGCCACTCCCTATGTTGCCACTAAGCATTGCAAACGGTTTAATCACCAGAGCGCTGCAAATCGTCAATTGCTGCAAACAGATGTAGCCGAGGTGGAGTGGGCAGTCTTCCTCTGTCTCTCTCAATCAGTGGCCCCCCTCTCTGCCACGCACACCTGGCCGTCTCGCATCATCCACCCCTGCAGGCGGATGTGGTGGAGGTGGAGTGGGCGACCTTCCAAGTCTCATTCACACATGGCTACTCGCTTTACCCACCGGAAAGCACTGCAAATTGTACTCATTATCGCACGACATTATCGCACCTCTTAGAGTTCTTCACCAAGCTCATGGCGAAGCCGTTCGCCGTCATGCGGGCTACGGATGCCATGACAAAAGGGATGATGGGGCGCCTCTACGACTCCATGCTGCAGCTCACCGAGGACGTGGATGACATCCTCGATAAGCACTCCGCGGGGTACCTGACGAGGGCGGAGGTTAAGGAGATCCGCCTCATCGTGAAGGACCGGTGGGACAAGTCCTTGGCGTGCCCCTTGCACGTGGTTGGCAGGATCTTGAATCCCGCCAACCAAGAGGAGGGCATCTTCAGGAACGACGTCGAATGCACGCGCGTGCTGAAGGCCTACATCGCCAAGCACTACGACAGCCTCACCATCACCGATAGCGACGGCGAGGAGCGCCGTGCCTCCCTTGTGCTGCAGGAGGAGCTGACGGCGTACCTGACCCTGCAAGGAAGTTTCGGGCTGCCCACCGCCATTGAAGACCGCGCGGCCATGAAGGCGGGGAAGATGACGGCCGTCCAGTGGTGGAATTGGCACGGCACGGATGCGCCCCACCTTGCTACGTGCGCAATCTGCAATCTTTCGCAGCCGGTGTCCGCGTCGCCCTATGAGCGCAATTGGTCCATGTGGGACGCGGTCCACACGGCAAGGCGCAACCGCCTCGGGTCCGAGAAGTGCAGGGACCTCGTATATATTGCGCACAACTGGCAGGTTGTGCACAACTGGTACAAGGTCCCTGAGGGGCAGGGGGTGGTCAACGACAACATTCCTGAGGCGCCACTTCCTGAGGGCTACAACATGGAGGAGGATGGGGAGGAGGAGGACATGGTTCTTGAGGATGAGTATGCATAGACGTGCATGTGGGGAGGGGGTGGTATGGGATGGGATGGGAAAGGGAAGGGAAAGGGAGGTGGGGTAGGGGGGCTAGTGATATGATTTTTCTTGAAAGTGTGTAACACTTTCTCAAAATATGTATTATGAAAGCGCAGGTGACTGTATCGAAGCAAGACAACTGCGAATGCCTATTCCCAAGTACATAATGAGGGATGGAGGCCATTTGGCCTCCACCCACGTCTTCATTTTTGGAACTTTACAGTTCCGCTTCCCCCCCACCCACCCCTAGTTGATAATTATGTAATGTAATGTTTCAGTGGGACGAGAATGTTGTAATTACCCAGTTTAAATGAAGCACGTTGCCTTGCCAGAACCAGAAAGCAAGCTTTCTTAATGTAGCCAAAATGTTGTGTGAATGTAACCTGCCCTATAATAAAAGGGAAAGGGAGATGATGGTGCCTTGCATCACCCCCTTCCCCACCTCTTAACCCAAATTTTTCACCTGCCCAAAACCTTTTTTACCCCTGCCTGGCCCTGCGTTTTCACTGCGTATCGGACCCCCCCAAAGATGCGTACAGCGTTTAAACGCTAGCGTTAAAACGCTAGCGTATGAAACGCGAAGCGTGTACACTCCTACTAAGCCTCCCAGTACATTGGCTCATCACAAGCACTACAATACATAGAATTCACACTCGACAATGGGGCCACTCACACAGTGCTCAAGGAGACATTCTCCTTCAAACCTTACCCTACACCCATTCCTCTCTTGGGAGCTGACTCAAGCTTCACCACCTATGCCAAGGGTTCATCCACTGTCCCATGCCCCGCCTTCCCATCCGGCACTGTCACTGGGATGTGCGTGCCGACACTACGCCACAATCCATTGGCTCAACAAGAAATTCAGAAGGCTGGGCTCCGCACCATACATTCGGAATTCATGGACTACTGTGACATCATTGACCCTGTCACCAACAAGGTCCTTGCTCGCTTCACCCTCAACAAAAACAATCTCTACACGTTATGTGTACATATCCCACAGGTGTCAACCACCCAAGCGCAGGTGGTCATCACACCATGCTCGTGTCGTGGTTTCACTAATCCGACCATCCTCTACCATCATCGGCTCGGGCACCCAAACTTCCGCACACTTGCTGACATGGCTTCCAAGAAACTACTTCTCGGTCTACCAGCCTCATTTCCCCCACCACCTGACTCCCCTGCGCCCTCGTGCCTTGACTGCACCAAGAGCAAGCTGCGCCAACAGCTGCACCCTTCCTCACCCTCCGTCGCAGCAGCCCCACTGGACCTGGCGTAGGTTAATCAGGCACAGACCAGCTTTGGCCGCAAAGTCAAGCGCCTCCATTCAGATGGTGGTGGTGAATTTTGCTCAGAAGGCATCATGCAAAACTTCACCCTTCCCGATAGCTCGCAGCAGAACGGCATAGTAGAGAGCCGCAAACACACACTGGTGCAGATTGCTCGCTGCCTCCTCAGTCACTCCCATGCACCACTCTCACTCTGGGGGAACGCCCTCTACCATGTCGCCCTCCTCTACAGCCTCTACCCCCACCCGCTTCTTCTTGACACCACTCCCACCACACTCTGGCTCGGGAAAACGCCCACTGCTCGCCCCCTTCGTGTCTCGGGGTGCATCGCCTACGTCCTCCTCAACCCTCAGGCTCGGCGACAGCAAGGCGGCAAACTCGGCCTCAAGACTCAAACATGCATCTACCTTGGGCACAACGCCGACTCTCCTGGCTACCTCTTCCTCAACCCCTCCACCCAAACAGCTAGTCTGAACCCATGACGTGGTTTTTGACGAGACCCGCCCTTTCTACTCCACCTCGGGGGGGGGGGGGGGGGGGGATCCTCCCTCCGGACCACCCTCACTCGTGTGGGCTGACTTTGATGCTCCTTCTGACCATCCGCCAGCACCAGCTCCCTCACCTCCTACCTCTCCTGCCATCGCACCATCTCCGTCTGAGGTCTCTGACCCGACCTCTCCGGTGTCCTCGGCAGCTGCTCCTCTATCCCCCCCCCCCCTACCACTCTGCCTACTGCGCCCTCACTACCAAGCGCACCAATCACATACCATCGGCGGTCGAACCATCCAGCCCCACCTCCTCCCCCTGTTCCCTCATCCACTCAGGAATCTGCTCTCCCACAACCAAGCAAACTGATCACGTACCAGCGACGGCCGATCCCTCCCCCCAAGCCTCCTAAACCGTCCCCTCCAACCACGCCTGCTCCACCCTCTTCTCCGGTGGCTCATGGCAGTCGGTCGCATGGGGCTGCTCCTCCACTGGCACTTGCCATTTGATGCTCAATGATCACTCCGACTCCTCCTGCTGGCGGGGATGTGCCCTCTACCCTTCTGGAAGATAGGCATGAGGAGCTATGTGATCTCCATGCTATCATTCATCAGCTCTCGCACATCTTCCCCGATATCACTGACTCACCCTCACTAAACTTCTCGGAGAATCCGACCATCCCCATCCCTCTCACCGTTCAAGAGGCTCTCTCGGGTCCCCATGCTGCCGAGTGGCGTGCTGCCATGGAAAATGAATGTGAAGCCTTCACTTGCAACCACTCTTTCGACGACGAAACTCCACCGCAAGGAGTCAACATCGTTGGGGGCAAGTGGCTGTTTCGAGTGAAACAGCTTCCGGACGAGACCCTAGTGTTCAAAGCGCGCTACGTGGCCAAGGGATTCACTTAGCATTAGTACTTTGACTTCTTCAAGACATTCTCTTCCACATCCAAACCTCCCACCGTTCGTACGCTCTTGGATGTAGCCGCACAAGAAGACTTCAAGATCAAATCTATGGACGCCTCATTGACCTTTCTGCAAGGTCACCTCAAGGAGACAGTGTTCATGGATCGACCTGAAGGCTTCCCAGGAGAGTTCCCTCCCAACACTGTTTGGAAGCTGAATCGCCCTGTTTACGGGCTCAAGCAAGCCCCTCGTGAATGGCACAACTAAGTGAAAGAAGTCCTTCTCTCATTGGACTTTCATCCATCATCTGCTGACCTGACTCTCTTCATTCGCCGTCACTCTGAGCCATTCTACATCCTTGTCTACGTCGATGACTTCATCCTCGTTGCCAAGGACTCAGCCCAGATGACCTCTTTCCAGGCGGCCCTGAGCAAGGCCCTCCTGATGAAAGACCTTGGTGACCTCAAGCACTACCTAGGGATGGAAATCACTCGTGATCGTCAGGCTCGCACCATTTCACTCTCCCAGGAGTTTTACATCAACAATGTTCTCAAGCGGTTTGAGATGGAGCTGTGCACTCCTGTTGCCATCCCAATGCCGCTGCAACACCTCCTCTCAGCCCCAGCTGTACCCACACCAGAGGCCTGCTGTGAGCCATACCCGGAGCTTGTTGGGTCCCTCATGTACGCCATGATGTGTACCCGACCTGACCTGGCATATCCTGTCAGTGTCCTCTCTCGTTACGTGGCACCTGGACGCTTCACTGATCATCACTCGAAGGCGGCGAAGCGGGTACTGCGTTATCTTCAGGGCACCAAGTCTCATGTTCTCACACTTGGTGGGCTTTCCCCTCCTCGACTGGAAGGTTACTCTGATTCCTCTTGGGCTGATGACCAGACCGACCGACGCTCCTCTCAGGGCTACTGCTTCACCCTTGGAAACGGAATTGTCAGCTGGCGCTCCACCAGGTCGTCTGCGGTCTCCCTCTCCTCCTGTGAGGCAAAGCTCTACGCTGGCACCATGGCTGCTCAAGAGGCCCGTTGGCTCACCTTCCTCCTCCAGGAGCTTGACTACCCTCAGTCCACCCCCACCATATGGTGTGACAATCAGAGCACCATCCACCTCTCCCAAGACCACGTGTATCACACTCGCACCAAGCACATCGAAATCCGACACTTCCTCATCCGTGACCTTGTCCCGCGAGAGCAGTTGAACTTGGAGTACGTTGCATATGACTGCAACTTGGCCGATCTGTTCACCAAGCTCCTTGGGAAAGTTCCTCACCACTATCTCCTTGACACCATGGGGCTCTGTGCTCCACCTTCTCTGCCCTGATTTCGATTGACGTCTATGGGGGGGTGTTAGTGTTAGCCCTCAATCTCACACTTTGTATTTTTTACCTTATATATCCTAGCGTAGTGTAGTGTAGATTACACTTTGTGTTTGGTTGGGTGTACACCTATATCCCAACCAAACCCAAATGTAATCTCCAAGCAATCACCAACCCACCAATTGAAGATTGTCTTGGGATTACCCCCAATCCCTAGAGATTTCCCCCGATTCCCTTCCCCATCCAATCCTTGCCCGCCTTGGATGTACTTAAAGAGCTTCTAGCTCATTACTAATGCATCGGTTCTAAGCTGAAGTTGTGACATCGTATGCCACACCACATTTCCTTGGTCGGCATGGTATTCACCAATGCTGGTCCAAACAGGAGTTTTATTCAATTATTGTCACTGTTTCCATATTCTCACGATTGTGCCTTGTCATCAGGTTGCAACATTCACATTCTGAGCGCTCCTTCATACAGGATGAGTTCTGCCATTTCTGCTCATCGCAGGTGTGTTCAATTCACTAGTCGTTCGGCAGAGAAGAACCTGAACTTTCCCATCTACATCGGTTCGTTTTTCTTCTCTGTGCCATAAAAAACACTGTTTAAATTGTTTGACAGGTCTGGGACATAGCTGACAGTTACTGTGGATCTGACACCGAATTTGTGCTTCAATATACATGCACTCGAGTGCGTCCTACCACCAACTTTGGTAACATAGTTTTCTCTCAATTGGTACCATAACTATTGTATTTGGCATACTTAACAAGAGAAATGTTTTTTTTTTCACAACGATACCGACCTTTTTTTTATCTCGAGTTCGCAACATCTCTTGTAACTGGCCATTGCGCTCCTTGCAGGGACATATTTACTCTGTAAAAAGGGAGTATTATAGCAAAGACACGAGAGCCAATGGAACACGACCAGAGGTGGCAGAGGAGGGAAGGGACGGTGAGGAGGGGATGGAGGAGA